CATGATAGTAAGTTATAATAACAATATAATCAAGGAATATAAACATAATGAAACAAACATACTTTCTACCATGTCTTTTCCAATATTCTTGAATTTTTCTATAAGCAAAGGTGTCAAATGTTTACGAATTACTTGTTTAATAGAATCCTTCTCACCATCATTTACAGTAATTTCAAACTAAACAATGAAATAATTAAATAAGTTAAACTATAACAAAAAATTAATTTTATATATATATATATTTTTTTTTTTTTTTTTATATTTTATTTTTATTTTTATTTTTATATTTATATTTATATTTATAAAAATACATTTTTAAAGGAATTATATCAATCAACATTACCTATTCGATCAAAATTGGTCAAACTTATTGAGAAATATAGTCAGAAGAAAGGTATTATTATATCACTCTATCATCGTCATCATGAATTCTTTAAAAAATATTTATTAATAAAATAATTACTTTTTGTGTCTAGATGATCTACTCTCACTTCATCATAGATACATTCAAGCTACAAAAAGCTATGAACAACTTATGGAAAAATCAATTGAAAGATATGATGAATCTGGTTATTATTATTATGATTATTACTATTATTTTATAAAAAAAAAAAATTCTTGCTCATTAATTGACTTTATCACAAAATAGTATCATATCCACAGTATCCAACCAAAAGTAGTATAATTGAACAGCCAACTTATTCTACAACAAGAAGAGATACATTACCTCTTCCTCAAATACCTGTGTATCAACAATCCAATTCTAACGAAATAAGTCAACTCCCACCACAACCACAACCAATAAAATCTGATCTCAATATCACTTCTCAACAAATTCCACAGCAAACTCATTATAAATTGTTCTCAAATACAAATAATCAAGACTCTTCGAGCTTGCTTAATCAAATCCCTTTACCATATCAATCTAGCACACAAGATATTCAAGCTCTACAACAAAACAATATCCAGGCTCAATTGCAACTGCAAGCTCAACTGCAAGCTCAAGAGCAAGCTCAACTGCAAGCTCAACTGCAAGCTCAAGAGCAAGCTCAACTGCAAGCTCAACTGCAGGCTCAAAAGCAGGCTCAAGAGCAAGATATTACAGCTGCTCTTCAGCAAGTTACTGCTGCTTTTCAACAAGTTCCACAACAAGCCTCACAGCAAGCTCCACAGCAATCTTCTCTTCATAACACACAATATCAACTACCAGTCATTAACACTGCTAATATTAATAACCTGCCAGGGCAGCAAAATGCTTTTGATCCAAATCAACAATCACAACCACAACAACCACAAGAATCTTCAATTCAACTAGCTTCTATTTTACAACAGCAGCAGCAATCAATACCATCACCATCATCAGTAAACCCACATCAACATCTATTACAACAGCAACAACAACTACCACAATATTTAAATAATCAAACTTCAAGTATGCCTCCTACATTACAACCCCCAAATATACAAAATTCTTCAGCAGCAGTATCACCATCCACCCAAGCACAACAATTGCCACAAAATCAATACCCACCATATCCAAATCAAAATCAAAATCAAAATCAAAATCAAAATCAAAATCCAAATCAAAATCCAAATCAATCTTCATATCTGCCTACTTCAATTTACAATAATAATGCACCATCAAATTCTTCTCTTCCTCAACAGCAACAAAATTATAATTCTCAGGTAACTTGTTTATTTATTTTTAATAAGTATATTATTATTCCATAAATTTAACATAAATATTTTCAATAATAATAATAACAGCAGCAGCAGCAACAACAACAACAACCTCAACCTCCTCTACAATTACTTCAACAACATTATACTCCAATTCCTCAACAATCTCAAGTACCACCTTCTCAATTCAATCAATTCAATCAGGGATCTTAAATGCAAGTGCCTCAAGCACAGCATCCTCAATAATGAACAAATATAGTAACAGCATACATTCATTATATTATTACTATATATTTATTTGTTGAGATTTGTATTTTAATTTATTTACTCCTTAATCGTTATTATTTAAATATAATCATTATAATTATATAAACATTATTATTGTTATCATAAAGAAAATTCATGTATATTTATGTTGGTTAATTGCTATTTTCATCAATAAAAAATTTTCCTAAATATTCAGCTTCTTTAGCCATTTCCTCCAAACTACGAGGTTTCCTCTCTTCATTATCAATAGCTAATTGTGATTTATCAATATCCTTATAAATATCATCATTATTTATATAATCACCTAATTTTCTAGGTATTATATGAACATGACAATGTGACACCTATTATTAAGTGAGAAAGAAAGATTAAGCGGCGTGTTTAATAATCTATTGATATCTATTACTATCTTTACCGTTTGACCAGCTGCTGGACCATCCTAAAATATAAATATAAATTTAATAGATATTTTACATCCCTGCATATAAATACACACATGTATATGTATTAATTGATAAATTACTTGAATTGCTATAGTCAAAGAATCACTTTTATACTCCTTTTCGATGACTTTGCCAATTTTTTGAGCACTTATCATTATATCACAAACCTATTAATAAAAATCATTATTAGAAAATTACAAAGATGATGATTATGATGATATTATTGATTTAAAAAAATTGTTTTGATCACCTCTTCAGAAGTTAATTCTGTAAACCTTGGGACTTGACGATATGGTGCCACTAATACATCTATTGTTTAAAAGTAAATTATGGATTCTATATGTTGAATTTTGAAAAATTCAAAGATTAAAAAATAAAAGGATACGACCACTAAGTGATGTTGAATCAATACAACCATCATTTTTTATCAATTATTTAATTAATTAATTCAAAAATTCATACAATAAAATTAAGGAATTTACATACGGTAAAATTGGTTTTAAATTAACGAATCCATAACATAAGTTTGACTTTAAAAACACCTCGCTTGAACGTATTTTATTTGGTCCAAACAAGTAATAAATTGACATTTTTTTTT